AGGTGTAAAATAGGTGGATACATAAGGATTTGGTGGAATATATGAAAATTTTCCAACAATCTTCATAAGTGTGCCTTCACTTAAGCTAAATCTTAGGGTCCGTTTGGGGCAGCTTATTTGGTGCGGTGACTTTTGAAAACACACCCTGTTTGGGTAAACTGTGTTTTGGCAGTTTCAAAACGCAGAAAATAACGTTTTCACACCGCACATATCTAAGTGCGATGACAGCTTATTGGCAACAGTTTGACTTTTTCAAAAAAATAAAAATTTGTAATAGTCACTGCACATAGATTATCAACAGATTATTCAATAAGCTATAGCTGCCCCAAACAGACCCTTAGATGTAGCCAGACAAGTTTTACTTGTGCTTGTTATTCATCACGGAATGTGATCTTTCACTACACAATTGGAGAGTGGGATTGCTTTTGCTGGCGCATATCAAATTGTAATGCTTCTTCGATATTGCATTGTATTAGCATGAAACATCCTAGAGGGCTTGTGCATCTTACTTGCAATTGATGTTTGGGCAATATTTTGAAGCAATTTTTGACACTGTTTGGGAGTATTTTAAGGACTGTTTTGGGCACTATCAATTGCTAATTTTGAGCAGCGTTTTGGGGCATTTTGATGGGCTGATTTGAAGCGAGCTTCATATTATTTTTAGGCGAATTTAAGGGCTGTTTTTGGGGAGTTTTATGGGCTCGTTTAGCGGCTTGTGGGCTGCACTTTTTGGGTCCGTTTGGTAGCTTGAGAGCTGTACTTTTTGGTTCCATTTAGTGGCTTTTGGGCTGCACTTTTTAATTTCGTTTTATGGCTTTTGAGCTATATTTTTCAAGTCTATTTGGCGGCTTTTGGGCTTCATTTTTTTAATGTTGAATTGGAGGACTTTCAGGTCGATCAAAACACTATCTTGGAACAAACTTGAGTACTCTTCTTGAGAGTCTATTTAATTACAGTTGTTGAAAGAATTAAAGCGTTTTTAAGATCGATTCACTTTCTGCTTCCCCCCTTTTTGGTTTGCTAGTTTGGGGGAGGATCGACCTACTTTTTTTCTTTTGTTTTGCTTCTTTTGCAATGGTTAAGTAAAAAAAAAATGAGGAATTTCTGATTTAATTACTTAGAAGACACTTAAAAATATTTGAGGATTAGTTGAAAAATACTTAATTGAGGGTAGAACACCTTAAATCAATTTAAACACAAGTTAAAATGTAGACTTCCTAGATTTTAGGAGCACACTCTAGGTGAGAGTTCATCCACCTAATTTTTAGTGTAAGCTCTCTAGATTTTAGGAGCACACCCTAGGTGAGAGTTCATCCACCTATTTTTTCAGTGTAGGCTTCCTAGACTTTATGAGCACACCCTAGGTGAGCGTTTATCAACTTAATTTTCGAATAAATAATGAAATTAGACAATTGACCCTAATTCACAAACTGATTAAGATACTATATATGAGGATGCACCGTGATGTGGTTCACGACTTCCTTGATTAAATGAAACAGAGAAATTATCGCAATGACTTAACCTACAATGAAACCCAGTGCACCGGGATTTGAGCTTAGATATTACACTCAAATCCTTCTTGCAATTGGGGAAATTTGTTAATGTTAAATATTGATCACCGGACTAGGATAAGTTTAGGGTCTAGGTGGCGAGGGCAATGACGACATTGCTTATATGTGCTTAAACAAGGATCTTCAATAAGGGAGAGAAAATGATCAATGATATTATTCGTCGATTCTTGGTGGGATTGTTGCCCTGAAGCTTTTAGGTTGTAAGTAGTTCTAGCACGATTAGAGTGACTAGCCTGTGGACTACACAATTTTACAAAATATTTACAAAATAAAACAATTTTTTTTTGCATGTTAAAAAAAACTTTGCATAAAAAAGACTTAAAACAATTTTTGCATGAAAATCAAAGAATTTTTCTATGAAAATTTATAAAGGTCCGCGGCTAATTACTTGGATTGAGGTTAAGGACTGCCCTCCGTAGATTATCGGGCTGGTAACTCTTGTTCAAAATCAAGAAGCACGCAGTCCAGCTCTGAGCCCCCACTTCTACTAATGTATTACACACATCCTGGTCTTTTATATGTGGCTAAGGGTTTCCTTTGCTTGTGATTTCTACGACTCATTTTTCTGAATTTCGTGCTGGGTTTTCTCGCATTGTTTATTTTTCTTGTAAGTTTAATTAAATCGGCTGCAAATCATACTATGCTCGCAATATTAATCACACAACAGTAGCAGATGCCCAAATACATTTTTACGGTTTATTTGCAGCATTTTACTTCACCACATTTTACTTTTCAAGTGTCTTTTATTTACTTGCAATCTGCTTATTTTGCATGCAAAGCTAGAACTGAAACAAAAACAAAAACAAAACTAAACTAAACTTTGACACCAAAGCTGTGAAACATAAACCGCCAATCTCAAACACTTAAGCACTTGAGTCATCGCTACAATAGGAGCTTGGAGCTAACTTTGTGGGCAGCACGGCGAGGAGTTTGGATTGATGGCTCGCCCAACGCGACGTAAATCCTCACACCCTCTTTAGACTCATGTACAACCATGTTATGCAGCGTAAGTCCTAACTCGCCTTAGGTTCCAATGTTGTCGTGTGACGCGACGTAAACCCTCTTATTTCTGTGGGCTATTTGGCTATTTGCATAATCAGAATAATCAGATATTATGCAAATGTAAGCCCTAAATAATAAAATTGGCAGGATCAAACACTTAAATAATATTACTTCTATCAAACATTTAAATAATATTACTTCTAAAACTCAGCCACACATTAGGATAGTTTGGGAAGTTACTGAGGTTTTTCCTTAAGATCTGTGATGTCCCCTACCTTTTACATCCTTTGGACTTATGAAAATAATTGTTTCTATTTCAGCTACTCTCACTTGCATTTCTATGTCCTATCGTGAAAACCTAAACCTCGAATTCTTGAAGGCTAGCATCTCTGATCATTATCGATTGTTTTCCCAAATGACCCCCGTCATTTGGGATGTAACTAACTATAGAGGTTTGCCTCTATAATGAACTTGAAATTCAGGTAAAATAAACCCTTCTTAATCTTTATATTAAGTAGGGGAACTTGTCGGTCACACATAAAAAAGTTCGCATGTCAAACGGATGTCACAAATCTCTTAGTTTGCAAGATTGAGTCTACCGTCGAGATATCACCTTTCGAAGAGATACACTCACCTTTCGAAAATGTGTAGTATTCACGGTATCGGACACGATTATGCAAACTATTGGACGAATGAGATCCATTTGGTCTTATTTTTTTCAAAAAATTAGAACACACTACTTTCAAAACAAAAAATCTATACCTCTTATATTTAAATTAAATTTTTGAAAATCGTATTTTCAAAATCAATCGAAAAGTTGATCGACAATCTTCTCCAAGTGATAGAGGGGTGTTATGGTTGTAAATCGTTGCTGAGGTTATAGTTATCCTTCTATATTTTCCTCACCTTCTCGTTTTCATCTCTCAATGTTCCCACCCCTTGTTTAACTCCCGCACTCTAACTTGTTGTCGACGGCCTCTCAAGCGCTCCGACCTATGTTGGCAACCCTCCAGCGCTCCAAATTGTTGTCGACATTCAACACTCCGATCTACTGTCAATATAGCCTCTTCAACGCTCTGACCTGTTGCCCACAGCCACCTAAACGCTCCAACCTGCTGCATACAACCTCTCCAGCACTACGACCTATTGTCGTCAGCCTCTCCCGCACTCTATACTGCAGCAAGCAACCTTGTCAGCCCTCCACCCTACTATAGTAGCCCCTCCAATACCCTATCTGGCTACCGCAACTTCCTCCACTGTCAACTTGTTGTTGTCGCACCTCCAAGTTACCATCTTACATGCTGCCTTGCAACAACTCATTCCCTTTGTCGTCACCCTAGTGTGTTCTTTTATGTCAGTTATCTCCTGTTTTATACGAGTCGTCTTTGTTACTCTATTTGAATTCAACAATAATATTTATATTTCTTGTGGTTTGGATAACTGCAGTATCAGTTACATTTAGGAGAAGAAAAGACACTAGTGAAAAATGATGGATAACATAGAGTGGTGAGTAAATTTATTTATCTATCACACGCTCAACCTGATATTGCTTACTCTGTCGACATTATGAGTCAACGTATGAATAGTTCGAATGAAAAAAAACTGGAAATGGTTTATACAATATTGAGGTTTTTTAAGAAGGCTCCTGGCAGAGGGTTACTGTTTAAGAAACCAGACAATAGGAAGGTAGAGATTTACACTAATGCTAGTTAGGCTGGAGAACGCACTGACAAAAGGTCCACTTCTGGGTATTGTTCTTGTCTGGAGAATCGTTATTACTTGGAGGAGCAAGAAGGAATTAGTGATCTCTAGAAGTAGTGCAAAAATTGAGTATCGAACATTGGCTTTGGGAATTTATGAAGGAAAGTGGATCCAAATGCTACTAAATGAGTTGGAATAATCCACTGTCAATCTCATAAAGATGTTTTATGAAAATCAAGTTGTAATTAGTATTATAAAGAATTCTATGCATCATGATAGGACCAATCACATTGAGATTGAAAGATATTTTATTTCAAAAAAAAATAATGGAGGAATTATTCACTTAACCTACATTCCAACTCATTTTCAAGTCGTTGATGTCTTCACTAAATCTCAACCTCCAGATAGCTTCATTGATTTGAATACCAAGTTGGGACTTTACTACAACAATGACCCAGCTTAGGAAAGAGTTGAATTCTGAGTTTCCTATTTTAATTTTTTTCTCTTGCATTCCCTTCTTATTATATCAAATTTCTTTCCTACTTGAGTTATGTTTTCTTTGGTATGTTGTAATTATTGTAATTAACATTTTTTTAGTTGTTCTTTCTTATATAAGGAGAAGAGTTATAATTTGATAGATGAGAAATAAGATAATATAGTTTCTCCATTTTTCTACAAATTTTTTTCTTCTTGATTTTCTTTGTTTTTTTTCATTTCTTCTTGTAGGAAAACAGCAGGTGGCACTATGGGGTCTCCCTGGCCTGAGAGGCTAGATCATGTTGGGCATTTATGCTTGTTGGGGGTGGAAATAGAGAGCAGGTGGAGGCATGGGGGCTGCAAACAATTTGTGGGCACCAGTCCACGTCTCAAACAATCCTAGGGGTAAACTGCCCATCTACTTGAATCAAAAGGACTCTTATTAAGTCTCTGTTATCTAATTTCCTGATTCAATGTGCTTCTTGTTTGCTTTAAAATTTAATCAATACTATATATCCTGTTAAAACATGGAGGTGGCTGGAATTTCATCCAGCGCAGATTGTTTGATTGCATTCTTTGAAGAAAGACTAAAGAGCAGCAAGAGAAAGTGAGGAAATCTGTCAACAGAACTCACCTTTGAATTCACCGCAACTTGTTGACTGAGCTGGGAGAATAAAGCAATTTCCTTAGTAGAAGGAATGAAGAACAATTTAATTGTCTAAGAACATAGAAATCAGGTGGTTTCAATTCCAAAATTTATGTTGCACTTTTATATTCCAATGGTAATATTTGGCAAAAAAAAATAAAATAAAATAAATTGGCAAGATTCTTTAGATAGTTTGTTTCCTTGTTCTATTTTTCTCTCCTGTAATTCTAATTCTATCAATGGGAAAAGTCCGCAGCCTTCTGTACTTTAGGAGATCCTGGGCTGTATGGTTTCTTTGTTTAGCATCCTAAAAAGATGTATGACTTTCTAAAAAATAAATTGTGCAAGTATTTTTTCAAGGAGAGACAATGATAAGCAACAATATTGGGTAACCTGTAAACAAAAAACGTTTAGTAAAGATTGCATACCATACAACTTATAGAAATGTTGCAAATTATGTCCAGCAGTTGCAGATACAAGAGTGGAAGAGTGCACGATTGCAATTCAGAAACTAGCTGTTGAAACAAAAGAAACTTCCCTAATTAGCGGTATATGATAGAGAAGGAAAGAAATGATTGAATAAGTGGACAACTACCTTTTCCCAGGAATTATAAACGGCTGCTACTGTATCCTCATAAATCACCTGCTGTTTTCTAAGTTTCTTGTACTTATCCTCAAAATTGCTATACTCAACTTTCAGAGCTTGAAGTTGTTCAAAAACCTTTTCATTTTGATATTGAAGAACCGCAGCATAAAACTACAAGAATAGTAACGGAGAAAAGCTAGCATGAGAAGTAAACTAATCCCTTCAACAATAATGGTTAAAGCAATAGTGCATCATGATAAAAAACATGTATGTGATTAGCTGTTAAAAATAGTTTCAACCTCAAGAAATAAAATAATTTTTCTTTCGAGTTTCCGGAGAGATAGTTATGGGATAAATTAGAAAATTGATCTTATAAAATACAATCATTGCCTTTAAGTAAACCTTGCAACTATTATGTTAGAAGACATTTTGTATCATTTTAATGAAAAAGAAGAATTGATGGCCTTCAAAACTATAATATATGTGACACCACTATTAGAATACTGATACAATGCATGCACAGAACTTTCCAGCTCCAAAAAATTAATTCCATAATGAACTTCGAACTCAAGATTCATAAAGCAAAATTATGAATTTTCAAACATGCATGCACAAGGTGAGAGAAGACGCAATTATTCATGGGAGGCACTAAGTTTGTTCATGTAAATTAACAAATAATCATCAGGTGCCTAATATTCTCAAGCAAAAAAAAAAAAAATGATGCATCATTCAATGCCAAACAATACCACCACGTATTTACAAGCGAGAAATCCTACCATATGGAGAAAGTTACAATGCATATAAGACATGAGGCGAGCTCCATAAAACATCCATCGGGGAGAATAAAAGTACCATAAATCGAGAATGTTGAAAGCAAAACAATAACTTCACGTCTCATTAGGTCACCAATTGTAACAACGTAAAATCTCATCCATCGAGATATTGGCTGCTTTGGCCAAATAATCTCACAATTTTGTCTCATTAGTGTAAATTCCTAAGAGGTTGCCCATCCCAGAAGTGCTCCCACACAAACACGCTTAAATTCTAAGTTTCTGATGAAATTTTAATCGTTATATCAAGTAGAGCCTAAAGAGTTCAGTTTCATTCTACTTAAGAGACATCACAATCACTCTTACTTAAGCAATTAACATCATTGTTAGTGTTTTTAACACAAATCCACCCATCATATAGGATTCTCGAGGTAATCCCTTAAGTTTCAAAAGGTGAATCCCACCAAGTACACTATGTACAGTTTGTTCTATATAACACTTCCCGTCTTTTGGTTGGGATAATTCTCTAATACTATTTATAACAAATCAATATCCCATCCATCAATATATTGTTCATTTTGGCCCAATGGTCTTTATCTCGTTGGTATAACTTCCCAGAATATCTCATCCATCATCTTTACCTTTTGCAGGATTTGAGATAAGTTTTTATCTTATATTTTAAACTACTTTTGGTTTTAATTGAGACTTCTTGTTGGTTTGATAATGATTTCTACTTTTAAACTAAAGTGTGGTTTTATTTTCTTCATGAATTCTGAGTAGTTTTCTTTATCTTTCTCCTTAAAATGATAATTAATTAAAGTGTTGGATGGAAGTTGTGGAGAGTATTGATCTTTAATGTTGGAAGAAGTTGTGATGATTTAAATCCATGAACTTCATTTACTTCTTGATTTGACCAATCCAGATGTTAAAATTTGTTGTGAGAATATGTAAGAACCGGACTAGTATTGTCTCAGTCAACAATTAGAAATAATCACATGAGGTTGTATGAATGAGAATGTAATTCAAATGGTTTAGTGCAAATAAATAGAGAAATAATCATTGAAGAGTGTAGAGTTGGAGGACTTTAAAGTGACAGGTTAAAACCTCCAACTTGGTTTAATTTTTTATGTTCTGATACGAGATGTTAGCCCCCAGGTGGAGGGCATCGAGGGAACTCAAGAGTGAGAGCTAGTATCTTCTCTGCCCAGCCGGTCTTCAAAACTATTCAAACTTTAAATTAACCAATGTTCTTTATAGCATCTTTAGTAAGGGTAAAGAATATAATTGCTCATATTTTGCACAACACAATTTGCATACTGCCACAACAGAATTCCTATGCTTATTACTGATTCATGATATGGAGAAAGATATTTTCAAATTTAGTGTTTTTATTTTACATAAACTCAAGTTATGTTTTTAAACTGTTCATGTTTTGTCAAAATATCAAAAATATCAAAAAGAATTGAATTTTAATTACCGCGAATACATATCTAATTTAAGTAATTGTTTTTTTTTTAAATAAAAAGTTTATTGTTCAATAGAGCATATTGCATATTTTTCCTGTGGATTCGATATTCAAGTTTTAATCAAAAAGTCCTATATTACTTGATAATGATACGTATACTTGTGTAATATCCTAACATATATAAATTGAAAAGTTAAATTTTTATTTACTTCAGGATCAAATTTTGACTTTGTTGCAAAATAAGAAAATACAAGTGAAAACATAATTAAAGTATTGTGATATTGTTGCAATTAAGCAGTTATCTGGGATCAAGTAAGTTTTTGGCGTCATTGTGCGTCATTGTCGAGGATTAAAATCTTTAAGTAGTAGTGTCAACTTCATAAATCCTTACATATAAAAAATATCGGGATTATCCACAAAGCTACAGAGGATTTTATTACTTGAGGATTACACCCGTCGATCGCCACGACGATTACACGAAAGGACAATCTCTCTCTCTCTTTCTCTTCTCTCCTCTCTCATTCTCTCTCTACCCGAGAGCTTCAAACCGAAGCACACCACAAGAAGAACCTTAAAAGCTACAAATGCCGAAGAGAAAGCTTGGGAAACCAAATCCCTAGAGTGATTACAAGAGGAGCTAGCATGCATATTTATTAATTTCATCATGTTATTTTTTTTACTCTTCTGCAGCAAATCATAGAAGGAATTAAGAACAATTAATTTAGCAATTAATTTCGTGTATCAAATCTAATTTGCTGTCAAATATGAGAAAATGTCAATTTGAGCAGTGAACCAGTTTTCATATTCACAATAAACACTTAAAAAAATGACAGATTTTTTTTTCACTTTTTAAATGTAAACCTTTTAAGGAAAAAAAAATTTAAATCGCTATACTGGCAACAATAATGTGAGGTGGAAATTATAATGTCAGAAGAATTTAGCTTTTTTTTTTGTCAATCATTAAAGATGCACGGATCACATTCTAATGAAGGATTCAATAGACTTTTATTGTTTGAAAAATAATTAAATAATTAGTCTTTTTTATTTTTAATTTCAAATACTAGATTTATAAAATAAATAATATACTACAATTTGTGATAATTGCTATCATGCTTATTAAAAAAATTTATAAATCAATTAATATTATCAAATCATATCAATAGAACTATTATCAAATAATTTATTAGGAAATAGAAGTATTATCAAATAATGTTAAAAACACTATCATTCTTAATATATAAATTTATTAATTTTCAATGAGCTAAAAAATATATATGAATTATAAAACAAGTTTAAAGTGATTATAACCTGATTCGAACTCGACGGTTGCGCGGTTGGAGCTTCAGGTGGTTTCCTCCTCGGCATCTTGATCGAACTTCTCGCTGCGCTTCTAAGAACCTTGACCCTTTCTTTACCTGTTAACATTAAACGACGGCGGCGATGGCGGATAAATATCGCCGATTAGGGTTTGGACGGATTAGCATCGCCGGATTAAACCGGGCTGAAATAATACGCACCTTAGCGGCCGGCCAAAACTGAGCATTCTGCCAATATATTCCTCGCTCCTGTGGTTAATCGGAAAAACGAGAAAGAGGTATAGAAATGCTTCAAGGAACGGAACAGAATGGGGATGCCGATTCAAGAAGTGGGTCATTCTTAATGAGCAGATAACGGCTTCGAAAGGCTCGGGGAGGAGGCGGCGAAAATGCGGAAGTGAGTTCAGTTCTGTAAACATGCTGGCACCGATTATGGCGGCCTGAGTTACACGTTCTTTTTCTGAGATCTTCTTCAAGGCGTGACTGAGCGAGGTGACGAAGAAGCTGACGGAAATACAGGCGGGGTTCCAGGCAGAGGACGCATTTCGATTATGAGTTTGAATTTCAATCACATCCATCGCTCTTTGGACGTACTTTAAATATTATGGGCAGTTGCAATTTATCCAATTTCTGCTAATAAGCAGCTGATTCTGATAAGCTGTCTGGTTGTTTGGTTTGTGCGTATTTAAAACAACTTATTCTGGAAAAATGATCATTCTGTTCTTATTCTGAATAAGCTGTTTGATTTGTGTTTTTTGTAAACAGTTTACTTATAAATTTTTTTAGTTAAATTAATAATTTGTATTGCATAATTTATTATTTTCTTAAATGTCACGACATGAAAATGCAAAAGAGTTGAATAACATTTATATAAGTCAAAAAGTTCTGATTACATCAAATAAGCACAGTGACATATACGAAAGTGAAATATACATTCACACACTAATATTGATTATCATATGACCAAAAAAAAGAATAAATAACATGTTAAAATTACAAGAAAAAATATGCAATATTGACTTTAAAATGTAAAAGCACATCACGACTAATGTTGCCCGGTTCTGATACCTCAAAACCTCGAGCAAATTTGTCTGACTGGGATATCGTAGAAACGGAAGAACTCAAACCACATGTGATGGTCTCCTGTTGTGGTACTATCGAACTTCTAACAGTTGTGTCCAATTGAGATATCATAGAAACAGTTGCATTGTCGGCCCACCTGAAGAATTTGCAGTCTTCCGGTCCTTGTCCCCACCGTGGGCACTTGTAGAATTGACGCCCGTAGCTATGTGCTTGTCGTGACGTGAGTAGCAATTACGGTAGTCCACATCGGCACATCATTTGCCCTGACTTACCTGAATACCTCGAATTCATTGTCCTGCAATTATTATAAAAGTAAACATATCAGTCAAAAACTATAAGGAAATAAAAAAAACTCAACTTACCAAAGTGTGGAAGCAATTGTTGCAACAAACTTCTTTGGTCAGCCAATGCGCTCCACTATTATATCAATAAAAGTAATAGACATAAAAAAAAAAGTATAAAAACTTGTTTCTCAATCTTATCACTTGCCTTGACTTCATAGAATTCAATTAGAAGAGATACAGAAAATTCATTCTCATAAAATGAGCTCAAAGCTCATATTAAACCGAGAGAAGGGTTATATAACACCCCTCGTTCTCCCATCTTCATATTAAACCAAGAGAAGGAAAAAAATATAACAGAAGTATGTTTGGTATAGATGCCCATTAATTTCAAATACCAGCTTTATGCTCAATATTAAAATTTTCATTCCATCAACTTCAGCTTTTCTCCATAAATCGCAATGCCACTTCTATTATATCAACTTCAACTTCAACTTTACAGTACAGAAGTACAACATAACCATTCATAAGTGAACCTTGGGTGTGATATATGCAAGTTTATATAGATTGAATGGTATGGATGTAGATGTCCCAAAATAAATATATTTACATACACACCACCTTGGTGTTGCGACATTCAATTAAAAAAGACAGGTTCTTATTTTGAAGTGAGACGGCAAGGAATAGCAGGGAATTTGGTTGCCTGCATTTAGGCCTTCCAAAATCACCTTGCAATATTTCCATGCATACCACTTGATTCTTATGTATTAATATGTATTAACAATTAACATATCTAACACCTATATTTAAAAAATGAAATACACATTTTAATGTAGACGCCATGACATATAAAAGTATATAGAAGCCAAGGCATATAGAAGCCACGACAAGTCAATTGAAAACCAAGTAGGTACATCTACAATTTACAATTGTATTTCACTTAAAAAACTTCTGTGCTTATTATCATAAATGCCACTCCATTTCACTTAACTTCAGTATTTACATATATGCCTCCTTAACTGTGAAAGAAGAAGTGTATGTCTTCAGTTAAAGCAAACCCCCAACCGTGCTTATGTAATTCTTTTGTATTTATGCATAACACCTTCTCCATTCAAAAGCGTTTTATGTAAAGCGGGGAAATAAGCAAACCCCCTTCCCCTCCAACCATCTTACTACTTCCACCATTTGATGAAACTCTGTAGCTAACACATCAAAATCAAGAAATCCTTTCAAACATTTCATTTTCTTTCCCATCCAACCAAATAATTTTCCTCTGAAATTGACCCAAAAAAATACCACTTTTGAATCTTGAAGCAGCTAGTCATGATGCAGATGTAAAATACTTCTAGTTTTCCATGTTATAACCATGATGAAAGTAAGTAATTTGAAGAAAATATGCACATAACCATTAGCTCAAGAACATCATGCATTAACCCATATGAACAACCAATAAAGAACCTCAAAGCTTTCAATTTGTAGTAGAGACTTGAGAATAGTTGGATAACAGTGGGGGATACAGATGAAATTCACTCCAATGCCAGAACCCCCATATATGTATAGCCATAACAAATCGGGCTGAGCCAAACAGAAAAATGAATATAGCTCATGAAAATCTCCATATGCAGCATTAGAGGCTGCAATCACACCAAATTGCAACATTGACTATTTGAAGCGGAGAAAAAAACTAAGAATTGCAATATTTACTATTTGAAGTGGTAAAAAAACCAAAAAACCAATACTATGCAAATATCCCTCAAGAAATCTATTAAAAGCATTCTCCCCCAGCTTTGCATCCCCACAAGTTCTGGAAATGAAACCGAGAGAAGGGTCATAGAACACCCCACCAATCCCTTACTAACACAATGTTGAATGCCAACAAAATGAAGATCTGTACCATCAACAAAATGAAGATCTGTACCACCAATGTTTATTAGTTCAAAACAAGTAAACATCCAAGCTGTTAGAATTGGGCCAAGACAAAACAAAATGAATTTTTGTAGCAGTAATAAAAAATGAGTGATATGAATGTTTTCCAGATATATAGCAGTGGTTGTCCTTAAAAAATTGGGCCATCCAAGTTGCAAGAAATTATGCCCATCATAAATTCTTCACCAACAATGGATTTCAGATAAAGCTCACTCTGCATATATGATACTTTCAAGTGCAACATATATTCATTTTCATCACAATAATAACATAACACCTTTCACATAACACCTAATAACATAACACCTTTCATACTAATACCATTCAAGCATTCCATATGAAATAGTTCAAAACAAGTGAACATAAAAAATGTCAAACATAGATATGTAACAGCAGATTGTCCTTACAGAACACCCTAAAATAAGGTATCATTCATAATTGTCTAGCCAAACTTTATAAAACACTACTTAACATGTTTCACTAATGTCGTCTGCTATACGATCTCTCAGAGCTGTCATTTCAGATGCCCCTTCACCATCTATGGTATTTTTTTCAAGTGAATCAATTTCAAGCTGTGGTATGATGCCCCCAGTTTGTTGTAAATCCACATCAATCATGGCAAATTCTGCATCAGTTCTTGAAGGGTGCCTCCTAGTAAAGTTGTGTAGTGTTGGGTTTATGTTAGCCACTACTATCTGGACCTGCTTCGGAAATGGATAAGTGGGCATATCATGCAATATAACTCATTTCTTCTTCCAAACTCCAAATGATCGTTCGATTACGTCTCGCAATGATGAATGTCTTTTATTGAATAATTCTTTCTTCCTACGTGCTACACCGCTTGACCTTTCAAAATCTGGGATATGATACTTTGTATCTGGATACGACTTAAGAAACCCCCTTTGTAAGGGATATCTGGCGTCGACCAAATAGTATTTACCTATTGCGTGATGTTTGTTACAAATGGAAGTTCAAAAGAAAATAAATTTTTCAAATATACATACCTAGAGGAGGGTAAGGGAACCCATATGCTTAGTTTCTAGTAGCAAACTTGAAAACAAGGCTATCGTGTGCGCTACCTTCTCATCCAGCCATCACGAAAGTAAAACACATATTGAAATCACACACGACCATGACATTTTGTGTTGGGGATCCACATCGTCCGATGTAAGCGACTTTCTTTGCAGGAGACAGCCATGCATCGACGTGTGTTCCGTCAATAGCTCCAATACAATCTTGTGGTGCTGAAAGTCGTTAAAAATCAATTGTATATTTTTCTTGAAATAGAATATTATGTTGGGCACTTACCTTGATGGGCACCTTACCTTGAAGAAGGGCATGTATCGAGGGTCATTTGCAATTTGTGTGGGAATGATCTGGAATGTTGGATCCTCGGGCTTTACTATCTTATATGCCAGACTCACCGGTGCATTCAAACCAATGGAAAAATATCTACTAATGGGTTCCGAGGAATTTTGGAAGCACTCCATAGCTCCTCTAACAGATTCATTTTGGGATAAGATATACAGGGTAATTGCCAATACCTCTCTGACAGTTATTCTTGATGAGCCGTGTAATCCATGAAAATCCCAAAGTTCATTAAGCAAGTCGAGAAATATCACCTTCGTTATACGGAATATGTTTGCAAACCTTGTCGGGTGTCCATGTAATAACTCCTCGACCCATTTATCTCTAATTTGACTCGATGTCATACAAGGTGTTCGATCAATGTATGTATGATAGTAGTAGTATAGCAAGATGAGTGCGAGAGCGACTTTGCGGCTGTGGTTATGTTGTTCTTCATCCATTCTACAAGATGTGACAAATGTTATTTTTTAAAACATGTTAAAAGTTAAATTGAAGTAATAGGAATGATACTACAACATGAGAAATGAACGAGTACATAAACATAAACTATAATGACGCAAACAAAGAATTGTCTGAATGACTGGTACTAAAATGAAGAGATAGTAGCAAATAGTCCATCACATAATTATTACAATGAGTGATACTAAAATAAAAACAAATGTCAACCCTAATCAATCATTCATAAAAGATCGCAAGTAAGAAAGTCGGAATTCTGGGTCCAAATTCGCGAAGAACTGTCTACGAGTGGAGTTCCCTAACAACTTCACATATTTTAAATACATGGGTTCGTCTTCCTTAACACCAGGATATGTATTTAGGATTTTAAAGCACTCCTGAATTGAGTAGTTGTTTGGTGTTGGTGTTGGTGGTGGTGCAGTCTTTGGTTTGCAGGATTGAAGTATCG